GGGCCGTCAGAGGGGACGGCGGGGCCGTTAGGTGCAGCGGCGGGGCCGTCAGAGGGGACGGCGGGGCCGTCAGGTGCAGCGGCGGGGCCGTGTGAAGCAGCGGCGGGGCCGGCAGAGGGGACAGCGGGGCCGTCGGGTGCAGCGGCGGGGCCGGCAGAGGGGACGGCGGGGCCGTCAAGCGCAGCGGCGGGGCCGGCAGAGGGGACGGCGGGGCCGTCAAGCGCAGCGGAGGGGCCGGTAGAGGGGACGGCGGGGCCGTCGCAGGCGATCGCGGGGCCGTCAGCGACGGCGCCGGCGTCGCGAGGGTCAGAGGGGGGGCGGCGCGCGACTGGAGGGCGACACGCGCGACGCGGCGCGGCCGTCTAGGGGCGGCGCGACGAGGCCGCGTAGGTGGCGCGTCAGAAATTCGCGGGCGGCTCGACGCGATCGGGCCGCCAAAGGAAAAAAAAGGCCCAGCGCGACTCGGGCTAGGGCAGAGAGCGCTCCGGGCAGGACGGAATAGTAGGTGGGCCCTAGGAACAGTTCCCACTAGGGAACCTGCTCGATACCATGTTGAGATAGAGGCGAGGAATGAGTGCACTATGAAATGAAACAAGTACAAGTACCAACCCTAATTGGGTTGTACCCCCTATGGGCTACCCCACTACAGCCTAAATATATGCATTAGTAATATAATCAGGCAGGAGGAGTTTCAGTGCTTGATTCCTCTTTCGGCCAGGTACTGCTTGAATCGCTGAGAGGTGTATTCTCCTCCTCCGTCTGACTGGAAGCTTTTCAGCCGTGCTCCCGACTCTCTTTCTGCTACTGGTAGCCAGGCGGCGAACGCTGCGAGTGCCATGTCGCGGCTGGGTAGATTTAGATGCCAGACGTATCGAGTGGCGGCGTCGATGAAGGTAATCGTGTAGTTGTAGGTAACTTGTCCTGGTTCTCGATTGAAGAGAATATCGCTGTACACCTTCTCGAGTGGTGCGTACGCGGGTGCGCTCGGGTTGTGATGAGGAGTGAACGGTCGATGTGGTAAGTCGGCTTCGGGGCAGGTAAGACAAGTCCCTCGTGCCCGTTGGAGTTCTTTGCCGTCGGGTAGTAATAATGAGTCCTTGTCTAGGACTCCTGCTCTTATCGTGTTATTTAACACTGTGTTGCTTGGATGTCCCATTCGTGCGTGCCATATGTCTTCGGAGGCGCGGTGTCCGGGTGAGCGTCGATACGCGTCGGAGTTGGAGTAAAAGTTGGCAACGAAGTTTGCGCTTCTGTGGGCTTCTCGTTGAGTTGGTTTCAACTGCTGTGCGGGTGTTGGTGGTGTTTCGTTGACGAGGACTGGTGTCGTTGGTCCTGCTGCTGCTGGCGATGTTGTCTCTGCTACTGCCGATGATGTTTCTGCTGCTGCTGATGATGTTTCTGCTGCTGCCGATGACGTTTCTGCTGTTGCCGATGTTGTTTCTGCTGCTGCCGATGATGTTTTTGCTGCTGCCGATGTTGTTTCTGCTGCTGCCGAATGTTGAATTGTTGCTAACGCGCGTGTTCTTTCTGCTTCAGGGATGGTGTGCAAATATCAGAAGCCTTCCGGGCTGAAGTCCGGATCAAGATCCGGAGGATGCGTCCAGTCGGCGAAGTTCACGATGGCGTCGCTGTCTGCAGTGCCCAGGTCTGGGACGAAGTCTAGGACGAAGACGTTGTTCTTCAAGACCGCCTTCCCGATGTAGAGGCCGCCTTTCCCGTGGTATAATTTGAACTCCTGGGTGGTACTGTCGGCTTCCAAGTGAATGCCTTTCGCCATCAACTGGCTGGCGCTCAGTAAGTTGTAGCCGAGTCCCTCCGCGATTAGTACTTTTGACATATGCAGTATAACATTTGTCTCTCGTGACTGAAGTTGTACTACTCCTTGTCGTCATGTGCGCAGGTTCTGGTTGTTGGCGACTGTGATGACGACCTCTCGTTGAAGTCGATGTTCGCGTTGGACGAAGCGTCCCGAAGAGCACATGTGCTGTCCGCAGCAACTGTCCAAGAACCATGTATCTTTCCCGGACGGTTCGCTTTGAGCAATGGCGGCGTACGTCGGGTTCGGTTGAAGGGACTCGCGGCGAGGCGTGCTGTTGTCGAGTTGCTCTTCTGGTGAGTAGTATGGTGGTGACTCGGTTGTGCAGGAATCTGTTATCTTTACCATGCAGTTGACGATGTTTCTTGTTTTTTGTGCAGGTTGTCCTGTTGGAGTCGTTGAAGCTTGGACTGAAGGTGTCGGGGTAGCTTGTGTTGAAGTGACTTGGCTGCTCGAAGGTCGAAGTTGTCGCTGTGGTGTTGTCGATTGATGACGATACGGACAGTGCGTACGAGGATGCCCTGAAGTCTTGCAGATGTGGCAAAACGGAGGTACTGGCTTCGGTTGTTGTTGCTGTCGACTGTTGTTGTTGTTGTAGCGTCGCTGGGTGTGAAACGCGAACTCTGGTACTGACGTTTTCTTCTTATGTCGTTCTTCTTGCAGGTCCATGTCCTGCTGCTCGGCATGGATTTCGGCGCAGAGTGCTGCTTCGGAGATTCTCCCGTGTGCACGTAGTATGGCGCGAGTGGAGCGCCAGTGAGGGCCGAGAGCGCCGATGACAACCGTGACAAAGGCGTCTTCTGAGATCGATCCCCCACATCGAAGAAGCCTGTCGCGCAGTTCGCGGCAGCGACTGATATACTCCATGCCCTTCTCGCCTGGTTTCATTTCTATTGTTGTCAGCTGCGCCATTAACCGACTTTGGTTTACACTGTCTGTTGCTTGATACAGGTTCTTCAAGTGGTTGTACGCGAGCTCCGCGGAGTTACCGTAACCTCGGTAAGTCATTATGTTCTGCTGTTGGGTCGGGGTGATGTTCCTCAGTAGTATTGTGTACGCCATCATCGATTGATAGGTGTACTGCTGCTTCTCATACTGTGTGCCGTTTGTTGGATATGGCAGGGACTCGTCGAAGAAGCCAAGGATCTGCGCTCCTTCCATCATCAGCTCGAATTCGAACGACCAGGTAAAGAAGTCCTTTCCGTCAAAAGGCTTTGTCGTTTGTAGTTTTAGAACATGCGCGAATTGCGACTGAACTTGTAATGCGTCCAACGCTCTCTCTTGCCCCGGTGCAGGTTATGGTTGCGGCATGAAGCTGACAGAGCCGCGCTGGGGCTCGTACGGAGCGAAGGTAGGTTGTTGATGTTGATTCCCGCGTGCGTAGGATGAGCCAACGAGACTCATGGGTGTCACGTTGTTGTTGTTGTTGCTGTTGTTTGATTGCGCAGGTACTCCTTGTTGGTGCTGCTCGTAGAAGGACATGAAGGAGAAGAATTTCTCCATCATGCTTGGATCGAAGCCCGCGCCTTGGTTTGCGGGTGTTTCCGTAGACCCAGTTGCTGGTCTCGTCGTTGTCCCTTCCTCTGTCTGTAGGCCAGAGGCAGGAGGTGGAGTAGGGGTAGTACCGGGAGAGCCGTTGGAGGAGCTCCTCTCCTTTCTAGCAGACATGTCTTCTTGATGTATGAGTGTTGAAAAGTAATAACTTTTAACTCTAACTGCTCTCATACCATGTTGGGCTGAAACGCCCTAGGATCTTTGTAGAGTTGAAGTCTGAGTAAGTGATGTAATAGCGGAAGCGTTGAATAAAGTCCTTGAACCACCTTGCGCTAGTATGTGAGGGCAAAGTAAGTTTATTAAAGCAAAGAGATACAGGAATAAATATATGAGTACAGAGAATATGAAGAGACATTATAACTATTTTACTGTTGCGGTTCGATACAGTGCGACTCGGGCAACTGCTCAATGTCGAGTCAGTTGTGTGTCCTTGCTGTCGCGCTGCATCAGGTCAAAGGTCGCTGACCTTTTACTTTCTCGTAACCTCCAGCGGTTACGTTAACTTCCGAGGGTTGACTCGCGATGCTTCGATTTGAGCTGCTTCGCTTGTGTCTTGAGTTCTGACACGACAGAGGCGCTTGAACTATTTGTTCCCAACAGAAACAACTCTTTTCCTTGGAGCATTGCTTCTGCTGCTTTTGTAGTAGTATACACATAATCTGTTGGCAACTCTCTGTAACAAATTACCGCTCGAGCGAAATCTGTGTTCGGGTTATCTTCACTTTTGCGAGCCGAACACCGTCATCCTAAGGACGTGTGAGATTTTTTATGGAGTTCGTAATCAGGGTCGAACTTTTGGTGGTTACATTTTTCGCCAATGTTCGCTAACCGCCTCGCCGAAGTTGAAACAAATTCCCCGTTTGGGAAGTGCGAACCCTCATTTGTGAACTTGATACAGAAAAATTCGTGAACTTGCACAAACACAAAGATCCAAACGTGTGTGGTGTCAGGCACGTACGAGGTTTCAGCGAACCTCGCGACTCGTTCGTGCGCCAATGAGATCACAACCAAGACACAGCGCATTGCTGAACTCGCTATGGCCACCACGTGGCACAATTCGTGCCACGATGGCAGTGAGCATTGGAAGTACGAGGCATCGCAGGTAGCCTTGAAGCACAATCCCCAGGAAACGCACGAGCTGAATGAGAGTCATTGTGAGATGCTGACTTGGAAATTGGTTCATCTCGCCGATATTTGTATCGTGCACAACTGCCACAGATGTGAAGTTGAGCTGGAGGTCTAGGGCTCACTTTTTTTAGCAGCGCTCCGGTGACGTGTCGCGCTGTGATGTGCTTGAAACCGGGTAACCTACAGTCTCCAATTGCGGCTCGGTTCCCCCTCTGTAAATTCGAACTTGCAAATTCGCACCTTGGTGTGTGATTGTGAGTATACAAGAATTTGCACTCGCGGTGCGAACCTTGCCACATCTCAAAATCGATTCAAGTTCAGGTTATAAAACCCTGCTTAAATCGAGTAAAACCGTGAACTTTCATAAACCCTTGTTTCACACACGTCCTAAGCGCAACACAATGGCTCGCAACTCCTAGGCGTCGCAGGGCCGTCGCATGCGACGCATTCAGTCGCACAGGTCAGTCGCATCGCACGCGCGACTCGCCTGAATTTCAGCAGCATGTCGCCCACTATGTCATGCGCTCGCGCGTTTCCCCGTTATTGCCTCACAAAACTTCTCCGCGCGCACATTAGCCCTTGCGCGAGTCACCCGCACGCGCAACACGCGCCGCTACCCTTGCCCTTCCACGCAGCATGCCGCGCGCTTTACAGTTCTCCGCGCGCAGCAGCCGCGGGGGATGCGGGTGACGCCCCGAGGGAGCAGGCGGAGTGTGTGTTGGTGGGCGCGGGCGTGGTGCGGCAGCGGGAAAAGGAAAGGGGCGGGGGAGCGGAGACTGGCAGTTACATGCCATTGCCGGGTGTGGTGGCGGATTTTGAGGCGCAGGCGAGGGAGCAGGCGGAGTGTGTGGTGGTGGGCGGGGGGATGGTGGGGCTTGGAGGGGAGAGAAGCGGGGGAACAGCCCCTGGCGAGGCCGTTGCAGGGCTGGCTATGTCGCCACCCGTGGATTTCGAAGCGCGGGAGAGGGAGCAGGCGGAGTGTGCGGTGGTGGGCGCGGGCGTGGTGGGGCTGGCGGTGGCGCGCGCGCTGGCAGTGGCGGGGCGGGAGGTGGTGGTGGTGGAGGCGGGGAGCGGAGTGGGGGGCGGTATCAGCTCGCGCAACAGCGAAGTGATTCATGCGGGGCTATATTACCCACATGGGTCGCTCAAGGTATGCCTCTCTTAGGTTGATGATGGGGTGACGAGATGATACTCTCTCGCTTAAGGTTAAGGCTCATATTCCACACACGTAGACGGGGGAACGAGCGGCGGCATCAGCTCACGCAACAGCCGAGTGGTTCACACGGGGCTGTACTACCCTCACGGGCCGCTCAAGGTACGCCTCTCTTAGGATGATACTTGCTCGGTCAGGAATGAGAAGCCCACAAGACTCATGTGTCTCGCTTGTCTCGCTTAACGTGCATGATACTTACTCGTGTCTCGCTTAACGTGGATGATACTTACTCGTGTCTCGCTTAACGTGGATGATACTTACTCGTGTCTCGCTTAACGTGGATGATACTTACTCGTGTCTCGCTTAACGTGCATGATACTTACTCGTGTCTCGCTTAACGTGGATGATACTTACTCGTGTCTCGCTTAACGTGGATGATACTTACTCGTGTCTCGCTTAACGTGGATGATACTTACTCGTGTCTCGCTTAACGTGCATGATACTTACTCGTGTCTCGCTTAACGTGGATGATACTTACTCGTGTCTCGCTTAACGTGGATGATACTTACTCGTGTCTCGCTTAACGTGGATGATACTTACTCGTGTCTCGCTTAACGTGGATGATACTTACTCGTGTCTCGCTTAACGTGGATGATACTTACTCGTGTCTCGCTTAACGTGGATGATACTTACTCGTGTCTCGCTTAACGTGGATGATACTTACTCGTGTCTCGCTTAACGTGGATGATACTTACTCGTGTCTCGCTTAACGTGGATGATACTTACTCGTGTCTCGCTTAACGTGGATGATACTTACTCGTGTCTCACTTAACGTGGATCATGCTCCTACCTCTGCTGCCATCCTCTGCTGACGTGGCAGGCACGGCTGTGTGTGGAGGGGCGGCGGCAGCTGTATGCTTTCTGTGAGGACAGGGGGGTGCCGCACCGCAGGGTCGGCAAGCTGGTGGTTGCCACGTCAGCAGACCAAGTGCCGCAACTGGAGAATCTTAAGGCGAGTTCAACTGCTCTGCCGTGCCCCCATGCCCCCATGCCCCCACCCCCATGACCCCACCCCCATGCTGTATGCCCCCATGCTGTATGCCCCCATGCCGCATGCCCCCATGCCCCCATGCTGTATGCCCCCATGCTGTATGCCCCCATGCTCATCCCTTCATGCTGCAACCTTCACCCTCTCCTCCCTGTTCTCTAACCCCCAATGCCCGTTTTTCGGACTCACCGTTTCCTCTTCTCCTTAAGTTCTCCCACCTCTCACCCTCATCTCGCCGTCCCGCCAGACCCGCGCGTGGAGGAAACGGGGTGGAGGGGCTTCGGATGGTGGGCGGGGAGGAGACTTGTTAATCTCAACTCAGGACTCTCTGAAAGGTCCCATTGCATACCATTGCCTACCATTGCCTCCCATTGCTTGCCTCTCTATCGCCGTCCCGCCAGACTCACGCGGAGGGCAACGGGGTGGAGGGGCTTCAAATGGTGGGCAGGGAGGAGGCAAGCCGGATGGAGCCACGAGTGGAGTGCCAGGCTGCGCTGCTGTCGCCGCACACTGGCATCGTGAACTCACACGCACTGATGCTCGCCCTTGAGGTGATGAGATGAGACGACTCTGCAGGCACGTTCAGTAGTGATGAGATGGCTCTAGGGACACCTGAAACAGTGTTCAGGTGGGGTGAGAGAATGAAGCCTCGAGTGAAGTGCCATGCTGCGCTGCTCTCCTCCCACACAGGCATCGTGGACTCACATGCTCTCATGCTCGCTCTCCGGGTGATGGGACGACTTGTGACGCGCAACCGACTCTTCTCATAAGAATATGATAAGAGCGAGCATTCTCTTCTCTTATCGCCCCCACCTGTCGTGCATTCTCACTTCCAACGTCCCTCCCTCACACTTATTCCCCTCCCTCCCCCCTTTTTCTCTCCGCCTCTCCATGTGTTTCTTTCTCTGCGGCACCAACAGCGCAGGCAGAGGCAGAAGCAGCAGGTGCTGTATTCGCTTTCAACTCAGCCGCAGTGGGCATTCAGGCCAACCCAGCCGACCGCTTCCCACTCCTCACCACCATCCGAACATCCTCGCCTACCAGCAGCAGCAGCACTGCCACTACTACCACCATCACCAGCAGCAGCAGCACCACCACCACCATCACCACAACCACGTTGCTGTGCTCGCGCTATTTAGTGAACGCAGCTGGGCTCGAGGCTGTTCCTCTCGCTCATCGCACCCACCTCACAGAGGCTCCCATCAAACCGCAACTGCCACCCCTCCGCCTCCCTCCTCTCTACCTCGCCCGCGGGCATTACTTCGCCCATTCTGGCCCACCGCCCTTCTCCCGCCTGGTTTATCCGCTGCCGGAGCCGGGGGGCCTGGGCGTGCATGCCACCGTGGACCTCGCCGGTCGAGTGCGGTTCGGCCCCGACGTGCAGTGGTTGCACGCGGTGCCACTCTCTGCTGCCCATGGCATGCCCATCAGGTGTGCTTCTAGTTCAAGACACTCATTATCTGAGTCGGCTTATTATTATTAACCAGTATTATCGGGCCGGTCTTTAGCGGACTCAAGAGCCAAGGGGCCTGCTTGGGCGTGCATGCCATGGTGGGCCTGGCCGGTTGAGTGCGGTTTGGCCCCGACGTGCAGTGGTTGCACGCGGTGCCGTTCTCTGCCCCTCACGCCACGGCCTTTTACTTGGTGATTTGCGAGTACTGACCTTCACTGGAAGGGGGATGTCTGCAAACTGTCTGCACACTCACTAGGCTCGCATCTGCCCCAAACTCTCCACCCCTCACCCAAACTCGCACGCCAGCTACGACTACTCATTGGACCTGAAAGGGATGAATCATTCTACTCCGCGTGTGATGAGTCAATTTTTTAGTCGACTCAGCACACGCTGAAAGGGATGAATCATTCTACTCCGCGTGTGCTGAGTCGATTTTTGAGTCGACTCAGCACACGCTGAAAGGGATGAATCATTCTACTCCGCGTGTGCTGAGTCGATTTTTGAGTCGGCTCAGCACACGCTGAAAGGGATGAATCATTCTACTCCGCGTGTGCTGAGTCGATTTTTGAGTCGACTCAGCACACGCTGAAAGGGATGAATCATTCTACTCCGCGATCCGCAAATACTTCCCTTCACTGGAGGCTGCCTCTCTGCATTCCTCTTCACCCCTCACCACTCCCCCCAACCGCCCTCATCTCCTCCCCACGCCAGCTACGACTACTCAGTGGACCCCCAAAGGGCCGAATCATTCTACACGGCGATCCGCAGGTACTGCCCGACACTGCAATATAACACTCTGCATGCCTCCTCACCCCTCACCACTCCCCCCAACCCCCCTCAACTTCTCCCCACTCCTCTCCACGCCAGCTACGACTACTCAGTGGACCCTGCAAGGGCCGAATCGTTCTACTCGGCGATCCGCAAGTACTTCCCGACACTGCAGTCCGGCTCTCTGCATGCCGACTATGCGGGCATTCGCCCCAAAATCACCGCCCCGGGGGAAACTGCAGCCGATTTCCTCATTCAGGTGAGGCTGGGAGGTAAGAGAGGGTGGTGAGGGATGGGCATCACTGCAGCCCCGCTCTCTGCATGCGGACTATGCCGGCATCTGGCCCAAACTCACCGGCCCAGGGGACCCTGCTGCTGACTCCTTGATTCAGGTGTGACTGGGCGGTGAGATGGGCAGTTGTGTGCCCTGTGCCTTGTGTGAGATAAGAAAGACCTCTGAGCTGATTCTAGGTCTAGAGGCACTGCAGGGCGGCTCTCTGCATGCGGACTATGCGGGCATTCGACCCAAACTCACTGCTTCTGGGGAACCTGTTGCTGACTTGTTCATTCAGGTGAGACTGGGTGGTGAGATGTGTGGTGGAATGGGCGATGTGTCAACGTTTTTCTCACTTCCCTTGTCATTCATTCTAAATTCGACTACTAACTACTCGGAATGCGCTACCACCCGTGATGTGTGAGCCTGTACCCTCCTAGCGAGTGTGCCTAGAGTAACAGAACAGACCCATGCCAGGCCTTATCCTCCTTTCTTGCTTGTTCCTTCCCAACGCCATCAAGATTATGACTCCCCTTATCCAAGTCGTTCGCCTTGCACCCATGTCAATCATGACAGACTCACGCTACACATGGCATGCCGGGCCTCATCCACCTTCTCGGCATAGAGTCTCCAGGACTCACCTCGTGTCTTGCCATTGCCAAATATGTGAAGAGCCTGCTGTAGGGTGTGCGTACCCATCGTATGTTGGATCGTGCTATACAGTCCCCCGGATTCACCTCGTGCCTTGCCATCGCTGCGTATGTGAAGTGAAGAGCAACTTGTAGCATGGTGCCTCTTCCATTCCATGTTACCTGCACTTGACCCCTGCGACAATGTCATGTCATGATAACATGGTTTTGTGAGCACACATGAGCAGCACACATGCCATGCCAGGCCTCATCCACCTCGGCATAGAGTCTCCAAACATCATCTCGTGTGTTGCTGTTGCCAAGCATGTGAAGATTAATGCAACATACCGCTGTGATAATCATTGCATTATTTGCCGGTTGTGACGCGAGGCCACTGTGGCATTTGGTTTATCCCCACCAACCATTGCGACAGGTGTTTTTCTTTCATTTGTTCATTTTACTGAAGCGCATGCAATTTACTCGACGGAGCAGCCGGAATCCCAAATTGCACAAGTGGGGGTTTAGGGGTTTTTTTTTTTGGGTTGCGTAGCAACCCTTTATATTTGGTTTCACATTTTGGGGATATCATTCAAAGAGTGTTATTTACGCACTTTTTGGAGCACTCGTTTGAATGTTTTGAAACTGTGTTCAAATGGATGCCTCAAAGAGTGGATAAAAAAAACTCTTGAATGAGATCCCCAAAACATGTAAGCACGTACGTATCATGTTGAAACCATGAACTTGCTCGACCGTCACAACCTCGTCGATAAATACGGCGGATTGTACGGCCGGACATAACATTCTGGCATCGACATGAACGAATGCAATTGTACGAATGAACAACAAGGTATGAGGTGGAGTGAATGCTTCAAAATGAATGTTAAAATGCATCATGCAGCAACAGAGGTTGATGGGGTCGTTGAAACAGCGAAAACACGCTGCCCCAAAGACGATTAACAACCTCTAATTGCATACATAACACATACTAACACCACACTTTGAAACACACATCCCACAAACACGAATGCAAACGCACGTAAAACCCCACAGTGAAACAAACACAATGACAACACATAAACACACACACGCACAAACACACCCGCACCGCACACACATACATACACAAATAGGTTTGGGAGCAGACAAGCATAACAAAGAGTTGCAATAAGTTAATTATGTATTAATCACTGCTACCTTGTCCCCCCCCCTTACTCCCCCTTTCTACCTTCCTTCCTCTCCCTCTACCATCGAAATCTCCTCCCACCCTTTTCCACATTGTCTTCTCTCTCGATCCCTCCCTGCTCCCCACAACGCGTCTCGCACACCTTGCAAAACAAACAGGTCAAGCAGAAAATGAATTGTAGTCGGAAAACGGAGTGAACTATTCAATGACGAACACGCACTTGATTGTGAAATGGAACTTGAAAGAAATATGATAAGTACAAAAGATAACCGAATTCGACGACTCACAAGCGTGGTTTGAAGCAAAGATCCCATGGGGTCACGCACACCACGCTGGTGTGCAGCAAGGCTCCAGCGAGCAAGGTGCCTTGGTGCAACGAGCTGGGCATCGCCATGCTACAAGGTGCCAGAGAGTTGCAGCAAGGCACTGGCAGAGGAGCAAGCGGGCTGCCGTAACAAGGCATGAGCTCACTGCAGCAACGCGTGAGCTCACTGCAGCAAGGCGTGAGCTCACTGCAGCAAGGCGTGAGCTCACTGCAGCAAGGCGTGAGCTCACTGCAGCAAGGCGTGAGCTCACTGCAGCAAGGCGTGAGCACACTGCAGCAACGCGTGAGCTCACTGCAGCAAGGCGTGAGCTCACTGCAGCAACGCGTGAGCTCACTGCAGCAAGGCGTGAGCTCACTGCAGCAAGGCGTGAGCTCACTGCAGCAAGGCGTGAGCTCACTGCAGCAAGGCGTGAGCTCACTGCAGCAACGCGTGAGCTCACTGCAGCAACGCGTGAGCTCACTGCAGCAACGCGTGAGCTCACTGCAGCAACGCGTGAGCTCACTGCAGCAAGGCGTGAGCTCACTGCAGCAAGGCGTGAGCTCACTGCAGCACCTCTTGAGCTCACTGCAGCAAGGCGTGAGCTCACTGCAGCAAGGCGTGAGCTCACTGCAGCAAGGCGTGAGCTCACTGCAGCAAGGCGTGAGCTCACTGCAGCAAGGCGTGAGCTCACTGCAGCAAGGCGTGAGCTCACTGCAGCAAGGCGTGAGCTCACTGCAGCAACGCGTGAGCTCACTGCAGCAAGGCGTGAGCTCACTGCAGCAAGGCGTGAGCTCACTGCAGCAAGGCGTGAGCACACTGCAGCAACGCGTGAGCTCACTGCAGCAAGGCGTGAGCTCACTGCAGCAAGGCGTGAGCTCACTGCAGCAAGGCGTGAGCTCACTGCAGCAAGGCGTGAGCTCACTGCAGCAAGGCGTGAGCTCACTGCAGCAAGGCGTGAGCTCACTGCAGCAAGGCGTGAGCCCACTGCAGCAAGGCGTGAGCTCACTGCAGCAAGGCGTGAGCTCACTGCAGCAAGGCGTGAGCTCACTGCAGCAAGGCGTGAGCTCACTGCAGCAACGCGTGAGCTCACTGCAGCAACGCGTGAGCTCACTGCAGCAACGCGTGAGCTCACTGCAGCAAGGCGTGAGCTCACTGCAGCAACGCGTGAGCTCACTGCAGCAACGCGTGAACTCACTGCAGCAAGGCGTGAGCTCACTGCAGCAACGCGTGAGCTCACTGCAGCAATGCGTGAGCTCACTGCAGCAAGGCGTGAGCTCACTGCAGCAAGGCGTGAGCTCACTGCAGCAAGGCGTGAGCTCACTGCAGCAAGGCGTGAGCTCACTGCAGCAAGGCGTGAGCTCACTGCAGCAAGGCGTGAGCTCACTGCAGCAAGGCGTGAGCTCACTGCAGCAAGGCGTGAGCTCACTGCAGCAAGGCGTGAGCTCACTGCAGCAAGGCGTGAGCTCATTGCAGCAACGCGTGAGCTCACTGCAGCAAGGCGTGAGCTCACTGCAGCAAGGCGTGAGCTCACTGCAGCAACGCGTGAGCACACTGCAGCAAGGCGTGAGCTCACTGCAGCAAGGCGTGAGCTCACTGCAGCAAGGCGTGAGCTCACTGCAGCAAGGCGTGAGCTCACTGCAGCAAGGCGTGAGCTCACTGCAGCAAGGCGTGAGCTCACTGCAGCAAGGCGTGAGCTCACTGCAGCAAGGCGTGAGCTCACTGCAGCAAGGCGTGAGCACACTGCAGCAACGCGTGAGCTCACTGCAGCAAGGCGTGAGCTCACTGCAGCAAGGCGTGAGCTCACTGCAGCAACGCGTGAGCTCACTGCAGCAACGCGTGAGCTCACTGCAGCAACGCGTGAGCTCACTGCAGCAAGGCGTGAGCTCACTGCAGCAAGGCGTGAGCTCACTGCAGCAAGGCGTGAGCTCACTGCAGCAAGGCGTGAGCTCACTGCAGCAACACGTGAGCTCACTGCAGCAACACGTGAGCTCACTGCAGCAAGGCGTGAGCTCACTGCAGCAACGCGTGAGCTCACTGCAGCAACGCGTGAGCTCACTGCAGCAAGGCGTGAGATCACTGTAGCAAAGCGTGAGCTCACTGCAGCAACGCGTGAGCTCACTGCAGCAACGCGTGAGCTCACTGCAGCAAGGCGTGAGCTCACTGCAGCAACGCTTGAGCGTGCGCAATAATTAGTCAGCGCTCTGCCGCAACAAGGCAGAAGCGCACAAGCCGCCAGCGCGCATGGCGCCAGCGCCTATGGCGCCAGCGCGTTTGGCGGTAGCGCGTTTGGCGCCAGCGCGTTCGGCACCAGCGCGTAAGGCGCCATCGCGTAAGGCGCCAGCGCGTATGGCGCCAGCGCGTTTGGGGCCAGCGCGTATGGCGCCAGCGCGTATGGCGCCAGCGCGTTTGGCGCCAGCGCGTTTGGCGCCAGCGCGTTTGGCGCCAGTGCGTTTGGCGTCAGCGCGTAAGGCGCCATCGCGTAAGGCGCCAGCGCGTAAGGCGCCAGCGCGTTAGGCGCCAGTGTAATTGGCGCCAGCGCGTATGGCGCCAACGCCTTTGGCGCCAGCGCGTTAGGCGCCAGCGCGTTTGGCGCCAGCGCGTTTGGCGCCAGCGCGCTGCTAGGCGTCGGCGCGCTGCCGCAGCAAGGGGCTGGCAGCGCGCTGCAGCAAGGCGAATATCACTCTTGTACTCACGAAACATGCCGTTTGTCACGGGCGCTTGTCAGGCGCGTTTTCCACGAGAGGTTTCATGGTCACGGGCGCTTGCTACAGGATAAGGAGCTGAGGTTCATACCAGCGAGAGGCACTAGTGTGGGGTACTCCATGAGGTACTAGCGGTAGCATGAGGTACTAGCGTGATACTAGCGTGAGTGGAAAGAACTGGTTTCTTGGTTCTTGGGTTGGGTTGGGTTATCGAGGTGGTTTCACATATGTGAGCACGTGAGATTCAGCTGACTCAGCTGATACACTATATTTCATGTGCAGTTTGCGTCAGCTCCAGAAAACTTGACGAAAGCGAAAAGCGAAATGCACGTTCCCCATAATACCCCATAACAGTAGAGTCGTAACTCACTCATATACACCAAAAGTAACCACATAGTACTTGCGTATATTCTTCAGTCGAAATTCCACATAATTGGGCATTAGGTGTGAGATAGAATGCAATACATAAAAAACAAAAACGGCTGTAGAGGGTGGAAAAAGGTTACGGATATATATAGCGGTGTTGCATTTATTTTGAGTATGATATCAGAGTCTACGCAACCCTTACGACGTTCATCGTCGAGCCTTGTTTTTTTTTGTTTCAAGTAAGAGATTTTGCCATCAATTGCAAAATATTTGAGACTTGAGTTACCTTGTTTTTGTAGGCGATGTAGACTAGTTGGCTAAGGAAGTTGGAAAATGAAACTGCCAAAAAGAACCCAAATGCAGCACACATAAAACCCCCACTCAAGATACCCAATCAAAACGCTCAGTCAAGACACCCCATCAAGACATCCCATCCCACACCCCATCCCCCCCCCCCCCTTCAATCACATCAACGTATCGACCATGTACGGGGCCTCCACCCAGAGAGCCCCGCCTTCCACATCGACATCGTCCCTCTCCCGATCCATTAAATCTACGTTAATCCCCCCCATGGAAGACGCTGCTCGAAGCAGAATGACACGGGCTTGCGCCCGTTTTTATCGCCACCCCGATGAGCGCCTTCAGTGACCCTAAAAGATAAGCCGAAAACACAGAGTCGTCCTCTCGACAAGCCCCCCGCGACACAGCTAGTCCCACGTGCGCATCCCCCTGCTGACGAAGCCACCGCTGAAAACGACCGCCGAGACACCCCCACGTCTCAACTATCAAAGGGGTGAACTGCACGCCCCGGTTGCGTGCAAGCAGAGGCGCGTAGTCAATCGTTTTGCGGCGCTCCCACTCCCTTGCCGCCACACCTATTTGACGCTCACACTGTCCCAGCAGTGATGGAGACAGCGATAGCGGGTCCGCGACGCTGATCTCTAGGGCGTGAGCCTCTCCAGCCATTGGACGTCGCACCTGTCAGAATGTTATTGTATACATCACTTTATAACTGCGTGCAATGTAGACTTAGTGTAGTTATCTTGCTTGTTAGGTGGTGCACCTTGCTTCACTTCTTTCATATTTGAACCCTTGAACCTATAGTGAAACCATCATTCTCCTTCTCAACTCTCTCGATACTTTTCCTCACCCTCGAAGTTAACTACCAAGTCACCTAAACCTATGGCTCCTAAGCCCACCCATGCTTAGGATTCTAACATGTTATCAGAGTGGTTCCTATCCTAGGACCTATTTTTTTTCCCATGGGCCCACCGCATATCGCTCCTGCCATGGCGCACGTCGCTCCTGCCATGGCGCTAGTGAGCAACAAGCTTTTTCTTCCCACCACGCGCTTGGGGCGCGTGGCGGTTTTCCGCCCGCCGTGCGCCCCGGGCGCGCGGCGTCTTCCTGCCCCGTCGCCGCCCTTCTCGGCCCCTCACGGCCTCTTCGCGGCCCCGTCGCTGCTCCTCTCACGGCCCCTCGCGCTACCCTCAGTGGCCCCGTCGCCACACTTCGCGGCCCTGCCGCCGCCCCTATCGGCCCTGTCGCCACTCCTAGCGGCCCCGTCGCCGCCCCTAGCGGCCCCGTCGCCGCCCTTCTCGGCTTCTCGTGACCCCTTCGCGGCCCAGTCACCGCCCCTTCTCGGCCCCGTCACCGCCTTTAGCGGCCTCGTCGCCGCTCTTCGCGGCCCCGTTGCCGCCCCTAGCGGCTCCGTTGCCGCCCCTTGTGGCCCTGTCACCTGCTCGTCGCGCCCCCCCCCCCCCCTGGCCGCCGCCTCTGCCTCCCCTGCGCCCGTGCCTGCTTTGCAGCACGAGCGGGCCTGCCTTGCAACAGCAGCCGCCCCTGGAGCAGCCACCCCAGCAGCAGCAGCCCCTGGAGCAGCCGCCCCAGCAGCAGCCGCCCCTGGAGCAGCCGCAGCTGCAGCAGCCGCCCCTGGAGCCGCCGCCCCTGGAGCAGCCGCCACTACAGCAGTAGCCCCTGGAGCAGCCGCCCCAGCAGCAGCCGCCCCTGGAGCAGCTGCCGCTGCAGCAGCCGCCCCTGGAGCCGCTACCCCTGCAGCAGCCGCCACTGCAGCAACAGCCCCTGGAGCAGCCGCCCCAGCAGCAGCCGCCCCTGGAGCAGCCGCCGCTGCAGCAGCCGCCCCTGGAGCAGCCGCCCCTGGAGTAGCTGCCACTGCAGCAGCTGCCCCTGGAGCCGCTACCCCTGCAGCAGCCGCCCTTGAAGCGGCCGCCCCTGCAGCAGCCGCCCCTAGCCACTGGAGAAGCAGCCACTGCAGCAGCCGCTCCTGGACCCGGTGCAGCCGTGGGGAGGTGGGTATGGGGGTGGCGGGTGTGGGGGTGATGAGTGTGGGAGGTATGGGGGTGGCGGGTGTGAGGGTGATGAGTGTGGGAAGGGGTGCGGCAAGGGGTGTGAAAGGGGTGTGGGACAGGTGAGGGAGGTTGAGTGGAGGTGGCCGCCGTGAAGTCAGCAGCTCCAGTCGCCCGTGAGACCGTTGCGCCAGTCGCCTGTGAGCTCGTCGCTCCAGTCGCCCGTGAGCCCGTTGCTCCAGTCGCCAGTGAGTCAGTTACTCCTGCCGCTCGTCTAGCCGCGGAGTCAGTTACTCCAGTTGCCCGTGTGCCAGTTGCTCCAGTTGCCAGTGTGCCAGTTGCTCCAGTTGCCCGTGTGCCAGTTGCTCCAGTTGTGCAGTGTGCCAGCAGCTTCAGCTACCGCCCACCACCTCCTCTTCTCTCATAGTCCCTCCTCCTCCTCACTTGCCCTCTCCGTCTGCTGCGCTCTGCTTGGTGTACCCCTTCTGGGGGTGTTTGTACACATGGTTCTTCACTGCAGGCAGTTAGGGGGTGTGTCAGAATGTTATTGTATACATCACTTTATAGCTGCCTGCAATATAGACTTAGTGTAGTTATCTTGCTTGTTAGGTGGTGCACCTTGCTTCACTTCTTTCATATTTGTACCCTTGAACCGATAGTGAAACCATCATTCTCCTTCTCAACTCTCTCGATACTTTTCCTCACCCTCGAAGTTAACTACCAAGTCACCTAAACCTATGGCTCCTAAGCCCACCCATGCTTAGGATTCTAACAGCACCGCCACATCAACCCGCTTCCCATGCAGCACCACACTATCCTCCATTGTCACCACCCCCTCCGACGCCTTAGAGATCTTCGCCAGCGCAAACTTCACCTCATCATGCACCCGAGAAGGACCATGCTGATGCCTGCATCTCAGGGCATGGTGCGGATCTGCTGGGTCAACAAACGCTGTGCCACAAACACACCTCCCCGCCACCTGCAGCTGCTGGATTGGGAGGCCGAGCCGTATAGCAGCAGCAATGCCCCACTCAGCCGCAGTGAATGTGAGATCTGAGTGAGCCGGAACCGCCGAAACCCATGCACCTGCCCCCGGGCCCTGAAGGGATGTGAAACGGGCCAAGGTGGCATCGTCACGAGCCAAGCGGCGCAGTGCCTGGAGCTCCTCTACAGCTAACTGCCGCTGCCGCGCCTGGAAAAGCCGAACAGGAGGGGCCGCTACACACAGAGGTAAGCCCGGTATCTCGTGGCGGATAGTCGCTGGCAGCTGCTCAAGAGCCTTGACAAACCACGGGTCAAGAAACTCTGCCCCTGTCGAAGTGGTGAGGTACTCTGCAAACATCGCCTCCTCACCCGCCACCCCTAACTGTGCAATGTCACGCGCGGCCTGCGCCCACCCACAAACATAGGACAGTGGGCTCAAAGAGGCCGCCGCCCGGATCCCGAACCCTCCGAGACGCACAGGGAGATGCAGCTGTATGCGTGCGCGCCTAGACCGGTCGGGGTCCTGCTCCCAAGTGCCAGGTGGAAAAACCTGCTCAAAGCAATCCTCTAAACAGCTGTCCCAATCCCTAAAAGCCTCAACTACCTCCGGACGCGGCGGCATAGTCCGGGCGAGGTACATCGGCCGCGCTGAAACTGCAATGGCGAGGAGGTGTGAAGCCATCTGGGGGTGGTCGAGCAAGGGGAGCCATGGCAGTGGCGCCTGCAACTGTCGAAGCCGCTCCCGTAGCCGGACCACCTCCCAAACCTCCTCTCCAATAGGCACGCCCACCACAGTAAGACCCTCATCCACCCGCTGCATCCCCAATGGCAGTGCCCGCTCCACCTCCTTGCCCTCGCGCTCCCAAAACCGGCACTTGTGCGCCTGCACCTCCAGCCCCACCCACTCCAACCGCTCCCGAAGCACCCCAAAAGCCTCCAGAATCCTAGCCGCTGGCCCCAAAATATAGGTATCGTCTGCATAGCTGAGGAAAAGCAGGTCCTTGAACTCCCTAGTAACCGGCTCCATCACCTGCTGCTAAGTGAACGCGAAAAGAAAAGGGCCGAGCGGGTCCCCCTGCCTGGATCCCCGTGCTGAATCGAGGCTCTGTACGAAAGGGCCTGCTCGGAGGTACAGGTCGCTACGTGTCCCATAAAAGACACGCAAGAATGGGATCATCCCTGAGAAAGGCGACTCCCGCAGCCCATCGAACATCACATGACGGTGAAACGAATTGAAGGCGTTTGCGACGTCTATCTGTAGCGCACACCAGTCGGGGTGAGTGGCCAGCGCTGACCGGAAAGAGTGAGTAAGAATCTCCGCCCCGACCCTGGTGCCCGCTCCCAGATGGTTGCACGGCAGGAAGTAGGAAACCATTGCAGGGCGGAGTGAGATGCAGAGAGCTCGAGCAAGGATACGAGGAAGCACCTCCCCGATCGCCACCGGTCGGACGTCGCCGTTAGGCTTGGAAAGCCCGACTAGGTTGGATGCGGCGAGCCACGGCCGAGCCCGCTCGGGGACCTGTCCTACCACCCATTGGTTGAACACTTCCAACAAGTGGGAAAGGCAGGAAGGTTCAGTGAGGAAGGTGTCGCGCAGATGCTCTGTGACCCACCCCGATGGCCCTGCTGCTGAAGCTCGAGCGGCTGTATGGATAGCTCTGGCCAGGATGTCGGTCGTAAGTGAAGGCGGCTGAGCAGTATCGATGGTGAAATCGCGGACCCACTGTGGTACCTTGCCAGCGCTAGCCGGGTGCTTCTCTCGCAGCGATTGCACCATGACCTCAGACGGTCGAGCCAACTCCCCTGCTATAAGGCAGGCCAATCCACGGCTCCACTCCCCCACTTTGCACCGAGATCGGCACCGTGACAGGCGGATGGCATTCGGGTCCTGGTCAGAGCAAGTGTAGGAAATTGGGCGAACTGCTGGCCGCGCCGCCACCATGGCAGAATCGAACAGCTCCCGCCACCTCCCCTCCCAGAACGCACCCAACCGCTCTGTGATCAGCGCCTTCTGACCTATGCCTGGCTTGGGAGGCATGGCTAGGATGAGGCGCGGAAACGCCAAGAGTAGGAGGGTAGCGGCTTCATCTCCCGGCTGGCTCTTCAAGCGCTTAAGGATGCAACAGAGCGCGTCTAAAACCCCCGACCTGACCCGCTGTGGGATCCGGCGCACTGTCCTCCCTCCAACCACCTCCACGCTGAAAAATGTTTCCCATTCCCATGACGTAACCCCAGCCCACGCCTCCTCCCCAAATTCCCGCGGCGTCGATCGCTCCTGCGTGTCGGTCTCCACCAGAGACGGAATCGAGCCGAGAGCCTGTGCACGCCTCTCCGCCTCCGCCGCTCGGCATACCCTCATGTGGTTCGCAGCGGCCCCCCGCGTAGCGAAAGTGTGGAAACACGTGTCGCACGGAAAGCGGGGGCATGGGGAAGGCGGCATGGGAGGTGCTTCGTCCGCCTCTGACTCCTCCACAGTCGCCATGGGGGTATCAAGCTCCAAAAGTCGACACCACTCTTCCAACTGTTGCTCCTGGTCGTCCATCGATCGCCCCCCTGATTGCTGTGCTCCTTGGGGTGCCCAGGGCACCCTCGGCTGCCCCCCTGGCTGCTGCACTCCCTGGGGTGCCCCAGTCACCCCCGGCTGCCCCCCTACCTGCTGCTCCCCCTGGGGTGCTCCGAGCACCCTCGGCTGCCCTCCTGCCTGCTGCACTCCCTGCCCTCCTCCTTGCTGCACTCCCTGGGGTTCCCCAGGCGCCATCGACTGCCCTCCTGCCTGCTGCACTCCCTGGGGTGCTCCGGTCACCCCCGGCTGCTCCCCTACCTGCTGCTCGCCGTGGGGTGCTCGGGTCACCCCCGGCTGCCCCCCTAGCTGCTGCTCTCCCTGGGATGCTCCGGTCGCCCCCGGCTGCCCCCCAGTCTGCTGCTCTCCCTGGGGTGCTCCAGGCATCCTCGGCTGCCCTCCTACCTGCTGCACTCCCTGGGGTGCCCCGGGCACCCTCGGCTGCCCTCCTGCCTGCTGCACTCCCTGGGGTGCTCCGGGCACCCCCGGCTGACCCCCTGCCTGCTGCACTCCCTGGGGTGCCCCGGGCACCCCCGGTTGCCCCCCTGCCTGCTGCACTCCCTGGGGTGCCCCGGGCACCCCTGGCTGCCCTCCTGCCTGCTGCACTCCCTGAGGTGCCCCGGGCACCCCCGGTTGCCCACCTGCCTGCTGCGCTCCCCGGGGCGCCCCGGGCACCCTCGGCTGCCCTCCTGCGTGCTGCACTCCCTGGGGTGCTCCGGGCACCCCCTGCTGCCCTCCTGCCTGCTGCACTCCCTGGGGTGCCCTGGGCACCCCCGGCTCCCCGCCTGCCTGCTGCACTCCCTGGGGCGCCCCGGGCACCCCCGGCTGACCCCCTGCCTGCTGCACTTCCTGGGGTTCCCCGGGCACCCCCGGTTGCCCCCCTGCCTGCTGCACTCCCTGGGGTGCCCCGGGCACCCTCGGCTGCCCCCCTGCCTGTTGCTCTCCCTGGGGTGCTCCGGTCACCCCCGGCAGCTCCCCTGGCTGCTGCTCTCCTTGGGGCGCCCCGGGCACCCAGGGCTGCCCCCCCACCCGCGGAGCTCCCGGGGGTGTCTCGGTCGCCCCCGGCTGCCCCTCCGCCTGCTGTGCGGCAGCTCCGCTTCCAGTTCGCCCTTGCGTCTTACGGGCATGTCGTCTCCCGCCTCGGCCCCGTGTCCGGGTTCTCTTCGCTTGGCTTGTAGAGTCCGCACTAGCGACCTCCAGCTGCCCCCGCGCCGGCAGCTCCCGCTGCTCCCCCTCCGACAGCTCCTGCTGCCCTCCCCCCGACAGCTCGAGCTGCCCTCCTGTTGGCAGCTCCTGCCGCTCCTCCCCCGGCAGCTCCTGCTGCTCTCGTGCCTGCAGCCGGACTTGGCTCCCTGATTGGTCCTGCTGCACCTCTGGCATTAGCTCGGCCATCTCCACATCCACCGCTTGCTGCTCCCTTGCCGGCAGCTGCCCCACCCCCGGCGGCTTCTGCCGCTCTTCCCTTGGCAGCTCCAGCTGCTCTCCCCCAGACGGCCCCTGCTGCCCTCCTGCCTGTGGCCAGGCCTGGTTTCCCGATTGGTCCTGCTGTGCCTCTGGCTGTAGCTCGGCCATCTCCACTTCTACCGCTTGCTGCTCCCTTGCTTGCTGCTCCCTTGCCGGCAGCTCCTGCTGCTCTTCCCTTGGCAGCTCACGCTGCTCTACCCCGGGCGGCTCCTGCTGCCCTCCTGCGTGTGGCCGGGCACGGTTCCCCGATTGGTCCTGCTGCACCTCTGGCTGTAGCTCGGCCATCTCCACTTCTACCACTTGCTGCCCCCCAGCCGGCAGCTCCTGCTGCCCTCTCCCCGGCACCTCCAACTGCCCTCTCGCCGACACCTCCTGCTGCCCTCTCGCCGGCACCTCTTGCTGCCCTCTCATTGGTGCCTCCTGCTGCCCTCCCGCTGGCACCTCCTGCTGCCCTCCCGTTGGCACCTCCTGCTGCCCTCCCGCTGGCACCTCCCGCTGCCCTCCTGCCTGCAGCTCCTGCTGCCCCCCCGCCGGCAGCTCCAGCTGCCCTCCCGCCAGCCGCTCCTGCTGCTCTCCCTTCGGCAGTACCTACTGCTCGCCTGCCGACCGCGCCTGCCGCCCTCTTGCCTGCGGCTCTTGCTGCCCTCTCGCCGGCAGCTCCAGCTCCCCTCTTGCCGGCAGCTCCTGCTCCCCTCTCGCCGGCAGCTCCTGCTCCCCTCCCGTCGGCCGCATCTGCTGCTCCCTTGCCTGTGGCTTCCGGGCCTCCCCCAACAGCCAGTTTTGCTGCCCCCCCTCCTGCCTCGAGGGCTGTGTCCCCGCTGGACTCCACTGCTGCCCTTCCGCCCGGGCTCTCCGTCTCTGTTCGTGCCTTTGGGCCAGGCGAGGCCCGCGCGGAGCTGTGAGGGCTGGGCGTGCCGAAGGATTTCCTAGGGCCCTCCGCCGCCTATCATGAGACTCCTGCAGTCGGCGGCGATGTGCCTCCCATGCAGCCATCGCCGCGTCATCACCGGTACCTTGCCTGTGCGCCCCATGACCGCACTCGCCCTCGTCCGTCACGTCCAGGTCCCGGTTGGAGATGGTGTCGCTGCCGCCTACGAAGCCGCCGAGAGTGTCTTTGGGTGGTTCCTCTGTCCCCCCCTCTGTCGAGAGGGGTCTATACCTTTGTCGCTTGCTAGGCTTGCCAAAAAGGCAGAGTGCATCCTCGTGGTGGAGGCGACAGCGGGTATTGCATACTCGGCGCTGCCTCCCTGGGTCTCTTGTGGCCAATCCTCGCAATGATCTTCCTCCCCCGGTCTGGGGGGTCTGGATCGTTGGTCATGGCGTAAGCTGTTTGCGGGGGGCGCTGGAGGGGCGCCTCCCGCCTTCGATATAAGGCTCGCAATCCGGGTGAGTCGAAGGTGTTGGGCGTCGCTGGCGCACGGAGACTCCCCTATACACTGGACGCTCCTACCTGCAGGTGTTGGTACCTAGGCGCGGGTCTCGTTTTGTGGTCCTCCCTACACGCGGTAGTCGCTGCCTAGGCGCGAGCTTCACTGCGATGGCGCTCCTACGCGCGAGTATAACTGCCTGGGCGCTGATCCCTCCGCCGCGGCGCGGATTTCGTTGCTACGGCGCGGGTGTCACTGTTACGTGGCGGATTTCGCTGCTACGGCGCGGACTTGGCTGCTACGGCACGGGTTTCGCTGCTAAGGCGCGGATTTTGCTGCTACGGCGCGCAATTCGTTGCTACGGCGCGCACTTCGCTGCTACGGCGCGCACTTCGACGCTACGGCGCGGGCTTCGCTGCTACGGCGCGGATTTCGCTGCTGCGGCGCAGATTTCGCTGCTACGGCGCGGATGTCGATGCTTCATCGTGGGTTTTGCTGCCTAGGCGTGGATGTCGCTGCTACGACGGGGATTTCGCTGCCCCGGCGCGAATTTCGCTGCTACGGCGTTGATTTCGCTGCTACGGCGCGATGTTCGCTGCTGCGGTGTGGATTTCGCTGTTACGGCGCGGGTTCCACTGCCCTGCTGCGCGCTGCTACCTGCAGTTCGCGGGCTAAGCGGCTAAATCACCGGTTGGTCAGCAAGATCGCTGCTTTGCAGCTAAGTCGCGGGCGGGGCGGCTAAATCGCTGGCTGAGCGGCTAAAATGCGGGCTAGGCGGCTAGATCACGGGCTGGGCGGCTAGATCACGGGCTGGGCGGCTAGATCGCGGGCTGGGCGGCTAAATCGCGGCCTGGGCGACTAGATCGCGGCCTGGGTGTCAGAATCCCAACCACTAGACCATTGGGATAAAAGGGCTTGTTAAGTAGCGGGTCAGTGCGCCCATAACCCCCCAGGCCAACGTGCCTGTAACCCTTCCCTAGGATCAATCGGGGATCACCAGTGGACCTCTGACACTGGGCGGCTGAATCGCGGGCTAAGAGGTTGGGTCGCGGGATACGTGGTGGAATCGCGCTGCTACTAGCGAGGAAAGAGCTGCTGCCAAGCGGGAGTCGCGCTGCTGCCTAGCTGGGATCGCGCTGCTGCCTAGGTTGCTGGGATCGCGCTGCTGCCTGGGTAGCTGCTGCCTAGGAATCGCGCTGCTGCCTAGGTAGCTGGGATCGCGCTGCTGCCTAGGTAGCTGGGATCGCGCTGCTGCCTAGCGAGAGTCGCGCTGCTGCCTAGCTGGGATCGCGCTGCTGCCTAGCGAGAGTCGCACTGCTGCCTAGCTGGGATCGCGCTGCTGCCTAGCGAGAGTCGCGCTGCTGCCTAGGTAGCTGGGATCACGCTGCTGCCTAGCGAGAGTCGCGCTGCTGCCTAGCTGGGATCGCGCTGCTGCCTAGCTGGGATCGCGCTGCTGCCTAGCTGGGATCGCGCTGCTGCCTAGCTGGGATCGCGCTGCTGCCTAGCGAGAGTCGCGCTGCTGCCTAGCTGGGATCGCGCTGCTTCCTCGGTTCGAGAAGCGCATGCGATTTACTCGACGGAGCAGCCGGAATCCCAAATTGCACAAGTGGGGGTTTAGGGTTTTTTTCTGGTTGGGGTTTTGGCGAGCAGGCCCTACGATATCAGGAATTTTACCCTGAAATTCCTGATTTTCTGGGTTTTTTTTTTACCTACCCTGAAAATCCAGTGTTCAGCTTTTCCTAGGGCTTATTTTTTCAGCCTTCACATGCCACATGACTCAGAACTTTCAGCAATTTTTTTTAAGTGACACTGATGCCTTTACGTTGTAACGAGTTTGACCCTGAAAGCGAATCCTACTAGGTACGAGTGTACTTGACCGGAAGTACTGGGAAAATCAGATTCCCGCGGTGTCAGCAGGGCCTGTCGTTGACTGTCGGACAATTTTGCCCACACTAATGGCCCCTTGGTTGGCGCGCCTGGTCCGTTCATTGGCCACATTTGCAACATTAAGTGACTTGACCAATTACAAGGTTGCAGCACAGAGATGCTGGCAGGCTGCGCTGCGAGGGATTCTGGCGGTCTAGGTCGTGCTGGCAAGCACTGATGCATCAGCGCCTCCCAGCCGTGCTACCTGCCATCCAGCCTCACATCCCGTTCTGCTGTTTGCTTCCTTCCTAGTGTTTTTACTACTAGTAAAATAAAGACTACCGTACTAGTACCGTATCGGCCTTTTTCTGTAGGGAACACTGATGTATCAGACTTTTTTTTTAAGTAACACTGAACTTTCAGGCTTTTTTTAAGGCGACCCTGACGATCAGGGTCTAGGGGCAGAGGGACCCTGATACCCTTACGTGCCTAAAAGTGAATCTGAGGGCCTGTTGGCGAGTGATTCCGGGCAGTTCGTTTTTTCCGCCAAACCCAGCCAACCCACGTATTTCGCCCTGGGGGTTGTGTCAGCACCCGAAAGTCCCAAAGTGCAGGTGCACTGCTTTTCAAAGCTTGCACACTGCACTTTGTCAAGTTCTAAAAGCATGATCCACGCGCCTCGCAATTTGGGACTCGGGCTTTGAGTCATTCCATGGGAAATTTCTCCCATGCAAAACGTGCTGAAACAGAGTCTCTGTTTTACAAACACCATCTACGGTATAAGCCTTTCTTTTAAAAAAGGATTTACATCGGTCTACTTTAAAGGCATTTGGCCAGAAACGAGCTGTAGGTGGATGACACGTATAAATCATGTGGTTGAGGAATGTGGTGGCGACTGTATATCCGTAGAGTATATACATGGATGGATTGTTCACGTAAGTACCAGGTTCAGGCATATGCGTCAGAATATGTACAAACTCACGTGTATAATTCACATCACATTCGGTGGTCAGACATATGGCACAAACAGTAACACATCAGACAAATATTAAGATAAACAAAGAACAGATAAAGGTATGGTGACACACATCAGATACAAATGCACAGGGCGCACACAAAGAGTGAGGTACACACAAAGACACGAATGTAAACCAATGACAACCACATGCTGTACATACTCCATCCATACTCTTAAACGAGGATGCTTATGCATGGAAAGCTACGAGGATGAAACCCAAAGGTGCAGCGGGGATAGGCAGATTGAGAAGTAAAATAAACCAATAAGAGAATGGGGAAGAGAGGGAGAGATTGTGGGGAGAAGGAATGGAAGAGGGATGAGGGAAAGAAGCACAGAAGGCGAGGAGGAAGGGGGATCGAAGAAAGGCGGAACGGAAGAGCGCAAGAAAGGAGAGTGGCGGAGGAGGGAGGAGGAAGGCGGGGGTAAGGAACAAGGGTAAAGGCAGACTCAAGGACAAGGTGGTCACGAAACTAGTGGGCTCCCAACGACAATCCCGAGGTGCCAAGTCGGGCATCACAGGGGAAAGGGAGAAAAGGAAAAGGATGAGAGAAAGGGAGGGAAGTGGAAGGGGGATGAGGGAGTGTGGATAGAACAGGGGAGAGAAAACCCCCGAAGTTCCATTCACATTCCCTCACCCCCCCACCACCCCATTTCCCTTCTCTTCCCTCCTCACTCTCACCCCTGAACCCTTGAATGCGCCAAACCCCTGTACCCGTTATTGCCTTGGTGGTGTGCACTAAAGCGAGCTGCTTTAGTAACTCAAACAGCCGCGCATGGCTTGCCCTACAGAGTAGGGTTACCAGCTTGGCTGCCAATGAGAACACGGATTGCGCCCAGAGTTCGTGCATTACCAGATAAGGGCCAACATCGGCCGGACAAGGACTACAATAGCCACATCAGCAACACAAAACGGGCAGCAGACTAGGAAGCAATTAAGAGGCGATCGATGCGCTTAGTAGATGCGGAGGGGCTTGCCCATGGTGCTCTTGATGTACAGCGACTTGACCTGTGGGGGCGCGCAAGGGAAGAAGAAATGGAGAGAGACGGAGGGGAGGGAAGGAGTGAGACGGAGGAGACAACCCAAAAACGTAGACACGGAGAGCACCTGAGTCAGGAAAAAGCCAAGAAGGTCTAGTCGAAAGATACGTACGTTTTGCCAGTTCTTCTTGAGCAGCGAGACGAGGAAGTTGACGGAGAGCTGCACGTTCTGGAAGATCTCAACGAAACTATACCTTGAACGAACCCACGGGGCACAGAGCTACTATCGCGTACGTACGTTCTGCCAGTTCTTCTTGAGCAGCGAGACGAGGAAGTTGACGGAGAGCTGCACGTTCTGGAAGATCTGTTTCTCCTCCATGTCGCAGTTGCCCACCGCGATGCCCATGCACAGCACCTTCTTCAGCTGAAACTTGATCGTCGACTTCGCCTCCAACAACTGCCAGGGGAGGGTAAGGGAAGGGAGTGAGGGGAACAAAAAGGAAGGGGAAAGGGAGCAGAGGGGGGAGGGGAAGAGGAGAAGTGATGACCGCACAGCCACGGCCATGCACGTCGTCGCCTTCTTGAGCTGTAACTTGATTTGTCGACAGCTGGAACTTTGCTTACGACAACTGCCGACAGCGCAAGGGCCAGCAGCAAGAGAATTGCGAGATTCAAACACTAAAAATCAAGACACGAACATGTGGAGAGCGGCCTTGTTGAGCCCAGCGTCAAACAGCCTAGGGATATGTAGCTCTTAACGAGTGGAGCTTCTTTACGAGTACAAACCCTAGCCTTATACCGT